GGGGACGGGGCCGTGGGCAAGTCTGGAAGAAAGTAGCTCCCATTCTCCAGAGAATGGGGTGAGGGTGCTGGTGTCCTGTCTCCCGCTGTCCTGTTGTGGAGCACACCTTTTCAGGTGCCTGTCTGCCCCGTGCCAACCCGGCCTGCGCCCCATGCAGGCCACACCTCACAGTGGAGCAGGGCGGGGCTGCTCGGTGAGGGCTGAGCAGGTCACGTTTTGAATAGAGGCTGAAGCCTTAGTCTCTGGCTGTCATCTGCCTCCTGTGGCACTCGTGTGGCGGGCAGGACCTGGAGGGCCCTCACCTTCCTCTCTCCCACAGCAGCGATGGCGACACAGACAGCGTTAGCACCATGGTGGTCCACGACGTCGAGGAGATCCCCGGGACCCAGCCCCCATATGGGGGCGGCACCATGGTGGTCCAGCGTGTGAGTGGGCCTCCCCTCCCCTGCCCCGTGCCTGCGGTGTGCCCTCCTCAGCCCGAGCGCTGAGCCTGCCCTTTGTCCTGTAGACCCCTGAAGAGGAGCGGAGCCTGCTGCACGCTGACAGCAATGGTTACCCAAACCTGCCTGACGTGGTCCAGCCCAGCCACTCGCCCACCGAGAACAACAAAGGTCAAAGCCCACCCTCAAAGGATGGAGGCGGCGATGTGAGTGGGCTGGAGGCAGATCCGTGGGGGGAGAAGAGCCAGCAGTGTGCAGGGGATCGGGGTGCTGGGCCCCTGTGGGGGGGGGCAGAGCACCTTGAGCTGCACGGCCATGGGTTCCAGTGGGGGAGCTGGGGCCTGGGGCCTGGGGACAAGAGCAGGGCAGGGCCACGGGCTGGGGTCACGTTGATTTGCCTGACTGCTGCCCTCCCTACAGTACCAGTCCCGTGGGCTAGTAAAGGCCCCAGGCAAGAGCTCGTTCACGATGTTTGTGGATCTAGGGATCTACCAGCCTGGAGGCAGTGGGGACACCATCCCCATCACAGGTGAGGCTGGGAGGACAGATGTGCTGTGGGGCTGGGATCCAGAGGCAGCCTGGAGGGGGAGCACGTGGTCCTCTGAGGACATAGCTTTACAAAGTGCAGGCACAGCCCCTCTCCTGTGGGCCTTAGCACCTGCCCTGGCACAGAGGCGAGGAAGGGCTTGTGAGATCCCTCGGCAAAAGTGGAAAAATGCTCAGAGAGGCCAAGGGACCTGGGCAAAGATTCAAGACTAATAACTGACAGAACTAGGCCTTGAGCCAGACCTTTGACTTGGAGTCCAGTGCTCTGTTGTATCTTCCTTGCACCTCCTCTGTTCTCTGTCTTTCCCCTCTCTTCTGAGTGTTCTGAGACTACTCAGATCGAAGGCCAGATGGAGGGGGATGGGGGTAAAGAGAGACACGGGTAAGAGGGCTGCAGCCTATCCTCCCTCCTCCTCTTCCTCCTGGCAGCCCTAGTGGGTGGAGAGGGTACTCGGCTCGATCAGCTACAGTACGACGTGCGGAAGGGCTCTGTGGTCAATGTGAACCCCACCAACACCCGGGCCCACAGTGAAACCCCTGAGATTCGCAAGTACAAGAAGCGATTCAATTCCGAGATCCTCTGTGCAGCCCTTTGGGGTAAGCTGGGGCTGGGACAGTGAGAGGGGTCTGGCGCACGCCCACCCTCCTGGTCAGGTGAAGGCCTGGCTTGGCCTCTGACCTGCCAAAGGGCTCCTGTTGCAGGGGTCAACCTGCTGGTGGGCACGGAGAACGGGCTGATGCTGCTGGACCGGAGCGGGCAGGGCAAGGTGTACGGACTCATTGGGCGACGACGCTTCCAGCAGATGGATGTGCTGGAGGGGCTCAACCTGCTCATCACCATCTCAGGTACACGAACGGAGCGTGCGGGGCAGGGAGGGGCTCGGCTCCTTGGCATTGTGTCACCATCTCGCCCTGGGAGGAGGGCAGCCTTGGTCCAGGAGCTGGGCAGTGGGGGGCCACACTGTCTCACCCCTGTGGTATGCGGACAGGATGGCCAGAAGGCAACAGCTGGGCCTCTGATGAAGATGAGAGTGTGTGTGTGTGTGTTTGTCTGTCTGTCTGTCCCTCAGGGAAAAGAAACAAACTGCGGGTGTATTACCTGTCATGGCTTCGGAACAAGATTCTGCACAATGACCCGGAAGTGGAGAAGAAGCAGGGCTGGACCACCGTGGGGGACATGGAGGGCTGCGGGCACTACCGAGTCGGTGAGGACGCCACAAAAGGGTGGCCAGGGCTTGCTGGTTCATGAGAGGAGAAAGCAGTCCTGGGCCGAATAGCTAAGAAAGCCTTGAAGCCAGAGACTTGGGGCCTGGGATGGGGCAGTGTGGTGATGACCATCAGGAGGGGCTGGCAGCCCGAGAAGGGCAGCTTTTGCATCCTCCTTCTCTCTTGTCCCCAGTGAAATATGAGCGTATTAAGTTCCTGGTCATTGCCCTGAAGAACTCCGTGGAAGTCTACGCCTGGGCCCCCAAACCCTACCACAAATTCATGGCCTTCAAGGTAATCCCAGCCTCAGCCTGCCAGCCCTGCCCCAAGGTTCAGCTCCTCTCCCTGTCCCCGCTGAGCCCTTCTCTCCTCTGCAGTCCTTTGCTGACCTCCCTCACCGCCCTCTGCTGGTCGACCTGACGGTAGAGGAGGGGCAGCGGCTCAAGGTCATCTACGGCTCCAGTGCTGGCTTTCACGCAGTGGACGTTGACTCGGGGAACAGCTATGACATCTACATCCCTGTGCATGTGAGCTGGGCAGGGCTGCAGGGAGGGTGGGGCCCCCAGTCTCAGCACCAGATGAGGGGACTCCAGCCCACCTTCTCCTGCCCAGATTCAGAGCCAGATCACGCCCCATGCCATCATCTTCCTCCCCAACACCGACGGCATGGAGATGCTGCTGTGCTACGAGGACGAGGGCGTCTACGTCAACACGTACGGGCGGATCATCAAAGACGTGGTGCTGCAGTGGGGAGAGATGCCCACCTCTGTGGGTGAGTGATGTGCTGCCACGGACCCACGTGCCCCTGAGGTGGCCCAGGAGCGCATCCTGGGAGAGGGGCTGGGCTGCAGCCCCTCAGCCCTCAACTGCTTCTCCCCACAGCCTACATCTGCTCCAACCAGATAATGGGCTGGGGTGAGAAAGCCATTGAGATCCGCTCTGTGGAGACAGGCCACCTGGACGGGGTCTTCATGCACAAACGAGCCCAGAGACTCAAGTTCCTGTGTGAGCGGAATGACAAGGTGGGAGGCTCTTTCCCTCTTGAAAGGGCCCCTGTGCTGTGCTGGCTCCTATGACCCGAGGCCCCGGGGCAGGGTTGGGGCGAGGGCGTGGTGTGGTGGTGGTATCTTCCTGAAAGGGGGTGCAGTGTGCAGTCACCCCTCTGCCCTTCCCTGCCTTCAGTTCCTGAGAACTCTGCAGATGCCTTCACCCCAGGGGTGTGGTAGTGTGTCCTCTCTTCCCCAACATTTCAGCCTTTCACAGGGATGAGGCAGGCACTCTGAGGGTCATTCTACAGTTTCTCTCTCTCTATCCCCTACTCCCTCTGTCCCAGTTTCCCTTGCCCGGTTAATTGAGAGCCCAACCCTCACTGACTTCTTCTCACACCCTACCCAGGTGTTTTTTGCCTCGGTCCGCTCTGGGGGCAGCAGCCAAGTTTACTTCATGACTCTGAACCGTAACTGCATCATGAACTGGTGACGGGGCCCTGGGCTGGGGCTGTCCCACACTGGACCCAGCTCTACCCCCACAGCCAACTTCCCGGGCCGCCCCTCTTTCCCCTCCCTGGGCTTTTGCTTTTACTGGTTTGATTCACTGGAGCCTGCTGGGAACGTGACCTCTGACCCCCAATGCTTTTGTGATCACGTGACCATCCTCTCCCCCCAACATGTTCTCTCCCCAAAACTGTGCCTGTCCCCAACTTCTGGGGAGGGACACAGCTTTCCCTTACCAGGAATCGAGTGGGCCTAGCCCCTCCCCCCTTTTCTCCACTTAAGAGGAGGAGAGTGCTGGGGGCTTGGACCCCCTACCCCACTGCTGCTGACTGGGCAGGGCCCTGGACCCCTTTATTTGCACGTCAGGGGAGCCGGCTCCCCCCTTGAATGTACCAGACCCTGGGGGGGGTCACTGGGCCCTAGGTCTTTGGGGGGTCACCAGCCACTCCAGGGGCAGGGACCATTTCTTCATTTTCTGAAAGCACTTTAATGATTCCCCTCCCCCCAAACCCCAGGGAATGGAGGGGGGACCCCGCCAGCCAAAACATTCCCCCCTTCCCAAGCCCCTCCCCTCCTCTTTGCCTCTGCCCTTCCCTGGTGGAGTGAGGGAGCAGTATGCTCTCGTCCTCCACCCCCTCTTGCTTGCATCTGTATATAGTGTGAGCAGCAAGTAGCCCTTTTCCTCCCTCCCTCACCCCTCCTCAATGTAGTGGCCTTGGATATCCCGTTTGTTAATAAAGACAATTCAACCAGCTCCTACCCTTTCAGACCCTATTGTATTATTTTCTCTTACAATCCTGGATACTAGCCAGAGAGAGCCTGCAGAGTGGGAGGAAAGGGGCAGGGCAGGGTGGGATCTGCAGTGAGTGAGTCTTATGGGGGTGGAGTGGGGTGGGCAGTGCTGGACCAAGAAAACCTATAAGAAATGACTTCAGGAGGGCCAGGGCATCCTCAGCCCTAAACTCTGGGCCTGAAGACCACCTGCATCAAGGGTATTTGGTCCCCACTCACTCCAGCAGGGCCAAGCCAGAGAACGACAGGGCTTCTTGGCTCCAGCCTCCCTGTGTGCAAGCCCTGCAAAGAGGTCTGTCCTCTCTGGCTATCTAATGGACAAAGTAGCTTAGAAGCCGACGGGCTCCAGAGTCACCTGGGGGCAGGGCTGTGTCTGAGGAGGGCAATCCTTGCTTTCTAGGATTGTTACCCAAGAGCCCACCTGCACCATCTGCCCTCTCCTGTTGGCCCCTGGGCCTAGGGCCCCTGTTTACCTCTGGCCTAGGGCCAGACGTATGCACATGAGCACACACCATTGCTCTTGGGAAGTTCACAACATACAAATTTATCAGCAGTGGGAAAGGATCATAATACAGTGGTGGCAGCAGCTTTTTTCAGAGTCTATTTCCTACTGGAAATGGGTGGAGAAATTGAAGGTGCGGGCTCAGGTTGGATACAGGGTGGGTAGGGGAGATCCGGCACTTGGTTGAAGTAGCCCCCAAGGAAGATGAGGCTGGAGCCCACGCTGAAGAGCACCAGGGCGGCCCAGAAGCAGATGTTGTCAAGGGCCTTCCCCATGCGCACCCAGTTGGACACCTCCTGGGGAAGGGATAGCACAAACTGAGTCCATAAAAGGGCAGCTGCAAGAGCCAGCAGCAGGCCCAGGAGCGTGGGGGCCTCTGCAGTGCCCACCTCGCCGGCGGCCTCCTGGTCTCGCATGCTCTCTGCCACGAAGTTCACGGCATCCACACAGCAGCGGATCTCTGGGGCAGCGGCGCCCAGGCTCTGGCAGAGGGCAGCTGGCAGGGGCAACACCGAGGATGGGTCAGTAGGAGCCTCCCCCGCTGCAGCTGCCCCTGTTGGCCCGTTGCATCCACTGTGCTCACCGGCCCTGGTCCCGTGGCGGTGTCTCTGCCCCTCAAACACGAGTTCGCTCCGCGGCTTTTTCAGTATCAGCTCCTCCGCGCGGAGCAATAAACCCACTGATGACGCCCGCCTTGGGGGCGAGGCGGCCCGGGGTTCCTCTGGGGGCGACCCGGAGCCCAGGACCCGGGGCAGCAGCTCCAAGAAAACCTGGGGTCGGGGCGGGGATTAGCTCGAAGCCCCGCCCCCACCCCCAGGGCCGCCCCGCCCCGCGCTTACATGGCGCAGCCGCGAGGACATGGCGTGCGTGGTGGGCGTCCGCAGAGACACGTTGAGCACGATGACGCAATTCATGACAATGAGCGTGGCAACCACCATGACGAAGATAAGGTACCTGCGTAGCCCCGAGAGCGTGACGTCACAGCTCCCCACTCCGCCCGCCACAGAGGGCGCCACCCGTCGTCTGAGCTCACAGACACACCTCCGCCAGGGCTGGGGTCGCCCCCATCTGCTGACCCTTGGCGAGGCCAGACGCGCCCCCTGGCCCTCCTGCCCGTCCTACCACCCGTGGCGGCCATGAAGGGGACCCCCAGCTCCCTGGACACCCTGCTGTGGGTCTACCACTTCCACAGCTCCACCGAGGTGAGACTCCGCCAACGGCCCCGCGCAAGGGCGGCCCCGCGAGACCCTCTGGGTAGGTCTCCAGCGCTCCTCCTCCTCCCTGCGCCGTGCCCCCTGCCCTGTGACCTGATGGCTCCACTGCCCCCGCTCCTCCTCCTCCCTGCGCCGTGCCCCCTGCCCTGTGACCTGATGGCTCCACTGCCCCCGCTCCTCCTCCAGGTGGCTCTCCAGCCCCCGCTCCTGTCTTCCCTGGAACTCTCCGTGGCCGCAGCCCATGAGTATCTGGAGCAGAGGTTCGGAGAGCTGAGGGCCCTGGAGCCCCGGCAGCCGAAGGAGTCGGGGAAGTTGCCTGCCCCGAAGCCCACCTTGGGGCTGGTGCTAAGAGAAGCTGCGGCCAGCATCGTGAGCTTTGGCGCCACCTTATTAGAGGTGGGACGGGCAGAGAAGGAGACCAGGAGGGGGGCTAGGGCAGGGGGAGCAGGAACCTCCGAACTTCCACTAACCCCTGTACCCCCAATGCAGATCTCAGCCCTGTGGCTGCAGCAGAAGGCGCGGCGACTGGACGGCGACGACGGCAGCCCGGGCCCAGCCCCAGACGCCGGGGATCCGGGTAGAGCGCTGGCCCGGGTAGCCCAGGCCGCCGGGCAGGGGGCTCTGCACGCTGGGGCTTCGGCGGGCGCCAGCGCCCGGCTCCTCGTCCAGGGGGCGAGGCTGTGCCTGTGTGGACGGGGCCTGCAGGGGTCTGCCTCATTCCTGCAGCAGTGGCGACGGCAGCTGGGCCTCGGAATCCCCGGGGAACAGGTGAGCTCAGGATGGGGGGTTTGTTGCGGGGGGCAGAGGCAGTGAGGCTGGGAGGGGCTGAGCCGGACCGCCCGCCAACAGAGAGACTCGGGAGACCTCGAGGTGGCGTCCAGCAACAGCGCAGAGGACGGGGGACCGGAAGACCCATCACCCTCCCAGTCCCACCCCGCGTCCAAATAAAGCCCAGGAGGGGACGAGACAGCCCGAGCTGCTCCTAGAGTCGTTTGGTTTCGGCGGCGCCCCTCCGCGGGCAACCCCTTTGGCCCCGCCCTCCACACTGGCCACGCCCCCGCGCGTGGCAGCCGGGACCCACAGCGCCCTCACCTGCCCAGCAGCGGCACGCTCAGGGACGTCTCTGGGATTTTCTGGGCTATCAGGAACAAGAAGACGGTCTGGGCGAGCAGGACGTTGATGGAGACAGTGCACTTCTGGCCGCCGGCTGGAGGGAGCGCCCAGTGAGAGCGGGCCCGCCTCCGGGAACGAGCCCGGCTTGGGGTTGGGGCGGCCCCTCACCCTGCGCCGGCAGGAAGTAGGCGAGCAGCACGAGGCCCGAGATGAGCACGCAGGGCACGATGATGTTAATGATGTAGAAGAGAGGCTTCCGGCGGATGATGAGCGAGTAGATGACGTCGGTTTCCCCGGGGCTGTCCGCAGAGCTGCGGTCGTGGTGGCGGATCACGCCGGGGCAGAAGTCAATGGCCCACTCGCCGTTCTCTGCGGGAGGGAAGGGGGAAGCGCGGTCAGCCCGCCCCGGAGGTGGCGCCCTGCGCCGCTTTCTGGCGCACACCCGACCGCGCACACCTGTAGCTCTGGGCTGCGGCAGTCTGGGCCAGGGTGGCCTGCCTGGGCCACGGGCCCTCAATGTGGAGGGGCGGGGGCAGAAAAGGGCATTCCTGGTGAGGGTATGGAAAGACCTCGAGCGAGAAGGGAGGACTAGAGTGACAGTCGAGAATGATTTCAGGAAAGGGGCAAGCTAAAAAAGCCCGGTTGCCAAAGTCAATCCCCGTATCGTTGGTCTGGAGCAATCCCACTCTGAAATTCCCCTCTCTGGACCCCATCTAAAAGCGGGTTTTTAGGAGCAGCAGGGGGCTTCACCAGTAAAGGCTGCAGTGTCGATGTCGATCTTGTTGATGGGCTCTCCATTGTCGTCCACGGCAAAGGTGAACTCCACCTCTTTGGCATTGTACGTCTGAGAGCTGCGGAGCCGGGGCCCGGGCCCCACCCCAGAAGCTCGGACCTGGGCCCCAGCCTCAAGCCCAGCCCTGGAAGCGTGGACCTTGCCGGGTAATGAGGCGTCGCGCCTTTACCTAGGCACAGCCTGCACGCCTCTTTCCACCCCTGCCTGGAACCCACCCCGTTCCCAGGCCTGGCTCCGCCTCCAGCGCGAAGCCCCGCCTCCAGCGCGAAGCCCCGCCCCAGGGATGCCGCTTTTCCCATCTGGCCCCGCCCCCGCCCCGGGTCCCTCCCATAACCGTCCAGGCCTCTGGGTAACTCTTCCCACCGGAAAATGAGCGAGCAGTTCTGCCAGTCGAAGGGGAAGTAGGTGACCTCCACGGTGCAGGTACTGCGGTAGATGGCCGGGGGCAGCCAGGTCACGGCGCCGCCCTCGTAGACCAGCGCGTTGGCGTAGTAGGCCACGTCGAACTGGCCGTCGATACTGTGGGCTCGGGGAAACCGAGCTTTTGCACGGGCCCGCACCTCCTCCAAGCACCCGCTGCCCCAACCAGGTCCAGCCCAGCCCCCCGGGCCGCTTCCCTCCAGCCTGGCGTCCAGCCTGGTCCTCACTTGTTTTCCAGCACGATCTGCGGTAGCCATACGAGCTCCGAAGGGACCCGCAGGGTATCTATGCCCCCAAAGTCGTCCCTGCTGTAGTTGAGGCGATAATCTTGCCAATCCTAAGGGGCGGGGGTGGAAGGAGGTGTCGCCCTGCATCTCCCACCTGATGCTGCCCCGGAGAGGTCCGGGCGAAAGGGGTCCCCTGGGCGGGACCTCACACTGTTCCCCAGCTTTGACTCACGATTCCAATCCAGACGCTAGTCGTGAGAGTCTCCTCTTTCTCATTCTGCAGAGGGGAGATTGGGATGACTGAAGTGGGATTTCACTGCGGGAAGGAAGCTTGAGGACAGAGCTCAGTGACTGGGGCCAGAAGTGGGATTTTAGGCTTGGGGTGAGGGTGGGAGATCTTACCAGTGAGATGAGGTTCGTCAGGGTGACCTTCAGGGTGATGGTGACAGTGTCCTCAGGCCCCCTCACTGGCCTGCTTTCTGGGTCATAGTTGTCGAAGAGATGGTGATAAAGACGCAGCTCCTCATTCTTCCCCTGGCCGCTGCCTGGGATAGGGTCGAGAAGGAAGGGACGTTGGAGCTGAAGGGGCTGGAGCGCCCCTCCTCTGGGACTGCACCGGGCTCTGAGGCTGTGTATTTTTCTGTGTCTGTCGCCTGAACCAACCATATTGTCCTGGGGACCAAATATCTTGTCCCAGATTACGCCTTGATCTGTCTTTGCTCTCCTTGTCCCCTTATGTCACTGTCTGTGTGTTTACTCGCTTCCCCTGACCCCTGTCCGTACCAAGGAGCCCCAAGAGGAGCAGGGCACCAGGCAGAACCCCCGCCATCCTGCTGTCTGGTTCTCAGGGTTATTCTGAGCTTTGGCAGGCTTGGAGGGGCAGGCCAGGGTGCATGTGTGAGGGGGAGGAGGGTGTTAGTTCCGGGCTGGGTTAGGGGACTGTCACCTAATCCTCTACCCACCTCCGCTGCAACTGGGGACATTTTGGCTGCTTCAAGGGGCAGCTGCCCTATCCTGAGTTCCCTGTCCCCTGCCCCCACCCCATCCCAGCATCCTTTGCCTGGGCTTCAGCCAGCTCCCCAGCCACAGACTTGATCCTCATGAGAAAAGCAGGCCTTTAATAGCACCTGGGACCACAAGCCCGGCAGCGGGGAATGGGGACACTGCTTTCAACATGCACTGGTGTCCTTTGAGTAAGTTGCCTGTGGAAAGGGCTTTGCCTGATGAACATATCTGGGGATGTGACACACCCCTTGCGTCCCATACTCACCCATGTGGAATACACACTGTCACTAGCCGCAGCCCGGCCAAGTCACAGTAATGCCGTTCCCGTTGGCAGAGTTTGGCAAGAAGCAGTCTCTATAAAGACCTGGGAATAAGACAGGTGGCCACAGGGGATTAGCCTGCAGACTCCGCCTGGCAAACGACACCACACTTAGTACAGGGCTCACCTCCTTCCACCACCTGATCCCCATGTCTGCCTGTCGGCCCCTCTGGGTGTGTACACCTGGCACACTTGTTTCTCCATGCTGCTCCCTGCTGCCACCCTGTGGCCACATATGACAGTACTATCTTCCACACCCCACTGCCCAAAACACATTGACCATCTCCCCCCATTGACCCTTTCAGTGTTTCTCAAAGTCTTCTTGAATCACTCTAATCAATCACTTTGAGTCCTTATTTAAAATGGAGATTCCTAGGCTCCATCCCCAAAGAATCCTGATTTAGGGAGACGGAGTGCTAGGAATCTGGTGTTTTTTTGTTTTGGAGACAGGGTCTTGCTCTGTCATGTGGGCTAGAGTGCATTGGCGTGATCATAGCTCACTGCAACTTCAAACTCCTGGGCTCAAGTGATCCTCCTGCCTTTGCCTCCCGAGTAGACAGGGTCTTACGGTGTTGCTCAGACTGGAATCTGTATTTTTAGGAAGCTACCCAGGTGTTACTCATGGGGTAGGAAGGGCTGGACTAAGCACTTTTTATGCCTTACACTTCACTTCCTCACACCAATCCAGCAAAGCAATTATCATTGTCCTGAATGCATGAAAGAGGACTCTAAGGTGAAGTCCAAGGTCACACACGTAAGTTGGCAATAATTCATGAGCTTTATCAATCAACTATATCGATCATGTACACCTGTGTTCATTTTACACATTTTTCACAAAACATGTGCATCAGTTTGGGGTCTCCTGTCTTTACCTGTGAGGTGCCACGTAATCATCTCCATGTTACTAGTGAGAACACCAAAGACCAGAGTGTCCACGTAGCTCCTTGTCCATTTCCCACACGTCCTTGAAGGCTCTGCTTCCACTGCCAGCTGCCTTGTCATCTCATGTCTTCCAGTCCAGACCCCCAGAAAGGATCTCTTTGACCCAGCTCACCTCCTTGCACGTGGCTGGTACATGGATTGACTCTCAAATCTTTGCTGCTACTCATTCCACAGCCACTGGGTCAAGAGTTGTGATAAACACAAATGTTTATTCAAACATTAATGAGCACCAACAAGGTTCCCCTCACAGGCCAGGTGCTGTGGTTACAGAGATGAACAAGATGGGCCTCAAGGAGTTATCTAATAAGGAAGACCCATAAACAGCCAGTGACACCAGAACTGGGAAAAGATTAGAACACAGGAGCTGTGGAAGCTACAGGCAGGGGAATCAGATCCACTCAGATCTGTCTTCAGGAAAGAGAGGTCTCCTGGAATCTTCCATGTGGACTGGCACATGCCGGACCAATGTCCAGGGCCGTCCTGGGGACCAGCTGCCCCCACCTCTCCTGTATCTGCTGTTCTTTTGCCCTCTCACTACCGGCCAGCATGCCTGTTCTCTCTACTTTGTGTGTCCTCTTTTGACTGTGTCATTTCTGCTTCATTTTACCATGATGTTTGCCCCAAATGGACTTCTTGCCTTCTCTCTGCAGATGCACCCAATGTGCTTTGCTCCCATCGCTACCTGCCGGATGCCATGAAGGCTGGGGGTGCAAACACTGAAGGGTCATGGGGTTGGGCTGAGACTGTCCCATTTACCAAGGGTGGTGGGGTGTGGCAGGCCCTATGACTGGCCACATGTCCGGTGCCTACCATCCCCTACCAACCCAGCCCACCTCCTACGTAATTACTTCCCAG